ACTGATTCACTGGAAGGCATATTGATGAGTTGGCAAGATATTGGTGTTGCGCTGATGAGCGCTGGACTCAGGGAAACTTTGAAACACTTTGTATTCATATTTTTGATAATATAAGCTGTGAAACTCGGTTCTCATCTTCTCTACCTTTGTCTATTATCAGACTACTGTTCGTTGTGTGTGGGAGAACGATGCATGGCATGTACACACTTGCGTGAGATGGTCTCCAGGACCCATGCAGGTGATAAAAAAAAAAGAAAAAAAAAAAAGCAAGGGATTCTAACCCTAGAAAATTTCGAGAGGATCTCAGCAGCCCAGAAAAAAAAGCAAAAAAACACCTAAAGACAAAAAAAGATTAATATGGACTCTGCACAAGGATGACACATAAATTGATAAATGCTCCCAAGTTCTAGGCTACCAGCCGGGCCGCCCGGGTCAGCTTGTTTTCCCGGCCGCCGCGGCCGTGCGAGGACCAGGCAAGGTCCCAGCGAAAAATAATAATAAAAAACAAAATTAAAAAAATCCGAAAAAATATGCAAAAAATTAAACTGAACAACTTTTGCCCAGGGTCACATCCAAAATCTTTACGAAAAAAAAAAAAAAAAACATATAAAAAAGTTTTTTTTTTTTTTTTTTTTTTTTCCTGATCGGGCAAGTGGTCCCACCCACTCTGGGGCGAGGTCCCATTAGCAGTCGGATAGGAGTGTGGCCGATCCAGTGTGTCACTGAGTGGCAGCGGTCAAACCAGTTCATTACGAATTTCTGGGCAGAGAAAACAGGAGAAAGGCCAAAAAAAAAAAAGAAACAGAGACTTCCCACCGGAAATCACGGCAGAGTGCTTCCCAGCCATCAGATCACAAATGATCTGCTGGTGGTGGTTGTGACAACAGTGAACAAAGTAACCGCCACATTTTCTGGAAATAAACTTGACTTCTGTCAGCACTGATCCTGACACCCTCCATATACTCCGTGATTGAAGGAGAGCTCCACCCAATGAGATAATTGCACAACAGCAAGGAAAATACTGAAAATCTTCTATCCAGTGGGCCTAACGCCAACCCCACCCTCCTTTAGGGTTGGCCACACCCCCAACCGATTGAAAATATTCTGGCGGGAAGCTTTCTTTGCACGGGCATGCCCAGTGTTAAGGAGAGGAGGAGGGGAACGAAGATCTGCTTACTTTTTGGGGTAATACATGTAAAATACTGACCGTGGGATCACGAGTACTCCACGGCAGGTTTTGGTCACTCAGCTGCCCCACAAACTCGTTTCTATCCTATCCCGTTGCTAGTGGGACCTCGCCCCTGGGGACTGGTCCCACCTACCGTTGTTGAGTTTAGAAAACTTAACGGTGTGATGCCATTTTGACATTAATAAATTCGAAACAAAAAATAAAAAAACTGAAAAAAAACGCTAGGAACAGCTTTTCTCCCTACTTTTTATAACGTAACTCGGAGAAATGAAACATGTCTGGAACAGTCGGAGTGAATGTCTCCATGAAAAAGGGATACTCCCGGTGGTGAGGGGACAGGAGGTCACCATTTGTAAAATGGACAAGGACAACGTGGATGGCCAAATGCATTCATCGCCCAAAGAAGGAAACGAGTTTGATGCCAGACAGCCAAACACACCTGTCAGAGTTCCTCCGTTTCAGGATGCAATGACCAAAAAAAAGGAAAGGTACTGCAGTTGAGAAATGTACCCAACCCTCGGTATGGTAGTTTTCTCAATGGAAAATGGTTTCCCACCCAAACCAAAATGGCCAAAGCATACTACAAAAGGGATTTCATGTCAAATAAAAAATCTAAAAAATGACAAAATCTAATAGGTTATTCTCCTCTATTCCGGTACCATTAGATCGCAATACATCAGTGGCAGAGCTCCGTCCCACCATGTCACACGTGATAGAAAGCTCAGCGTTGAGAAAACTCAACGCTGTAGGTAGGACCAGACCCCTGGTAGCTTAGTCCAAGTTGAAAAAAAAAAAAAAAATAATAATAATAAAAAAATCAAGAACAAGACATTCAAACTACTGGGGGCATTACCCAGCTTCTCTTATTGTGAACTCTGCCGCCTGACCTCTCAGCCCGGGGGCTGCCTGATCTAAGCCCGAGCCAAACTGCACAAGACTTGTTCAAGGACACCATTACACCACACTTGTGGTTAAAACCACCAGTAACCTTTCCCAGCAATTTTTTTCAGAGGCGTGCCGAGTAACGCGCTGGCCTGAAACGGAAGGGCGGCCGCCGATAAATCGAATGCCATTGGGCGGCCAGACTTTTATTTTCGAGCTGGCGCGCAGTGCCCGCGGCCAAAGTATGGGAAAGATTCTGGTGGTTTAAACCTTTAACCCTACCCAATTGATCCCCTTTGAAAACCAGGACCTCCTCTGATTCAGAATCCTTTTGAACCCTAAACCCTTGCCTACCCTACCCCCACCTCCACCACCCTTTGATCCTGTGGGCTACCATTTATCCTCTTCTTCCACTTTAAATTTCTTCCCTTAATCGACTCCTTCGCTATCTACTTCTGCACTTTTTCAGCCATTCGCTGACCGACAGCGCTGGGTATGCGATCACAACAGCTGCATGTTTCTAACTCAATCCTCAGTCTAATCGCAGAGATTCAAACCGAACCCAGTTAATGCCCTTAGATTTTCGCAGGGTCTATGACTCTATGCCCATGTGCTCCTCCATTTGGCACCATGTGGTCTGCCAATCTGATTGGAATCTAACGTCAAGTTCTATGCGTTCTTGCCTTCTTCTGATCGGGCGGTGGGTGGTCACTTTTGTCTGACAGTGTTCGGTTGTTTTGCTCAGTTTGCTTTCATTTCTCAGACTTTTTGCTGGTTCCCAGCCTTGTCTGGCCTGGGGCAGTGTCGTTTCCGACTCTTGCATGCTAACGCCAGTTGGCAGACCTGCCTGGTCCTGGTTTCTAGACTACCATCTTCAGGGTCACCCGAATAGAACGCCTGGTTGTTATAGACGTATATTTTTGGACCAGTTTCCAGTCCACAAACGGCTATAACGACTGGGCGTTCTATTCGGGTGAAGACGGTAGGCCATTCATTCGTATCAGGACTGAACTATTTTTATCGGTAATGTCTTAGCCCCAGTCCTTGTCTGGTGCAATGAGACCGGAGGTTGAGGTTCTGATGCACCCTTGTGGTCTGGGCATGCGGTTGGGATCCAGACTGCACATTTTCATTTTCCTGGGTGTAGACCAGGACTTCAACCCCCCTCACTGTACCATCGAATCTGGATTTCATCTGATGGTACAGGATGCCTGCCGGTTGGTAGAGAGAGATGCCCAATGGCATATATCTGGGCTTGGGCATCACTAGGGGACACGGGTTAGGGACAGGCTCCTGCATCACAGAGCTGTGTTTAGAGCTATCAGGGGTAGACTACTGGCAGCAGATATTAGGAGAGGCTGGTGAGAGGGAGGTTGCAATGGCATTGGGCAGCTGCCATAGCTTGTGGTCCCTGTGGACTGGTCCCGGCCATTGCTGGGCTCCACTCTGCAATCTGCTGCGGTTCAAGACAGCATCCCTTTTCTCCTCTCTCCCTCTCTCTCTCTCTCTCTCATACTCTTTTTGTTTTTTGGTATTGCGAGAGAGAGAGAGAGAGAGAGAGAGAGAGAGAGAGAGAGAGAGAGAGAGAGAGAGAGAGAGAGAGAGAGAGAGAGAGAGAGAGAGAGA